GGAAGCGAGCGGAGTAGGGTGATACAGAGGGAAGCAATCGGCGGAGCAAGGGAGCCCAGGAAGGCCCCGTGTGTACGGCCCGCGTCATGCAGCGGCCCCTGCTGGGCTCAGATGCCAGGGCTGGTCCAGGCGGGAGCCGCCATAGCGGGCGCCGGCCCCAGGCCCGGATGCGCGTGGGCTCTGGGCCTGAACCCGCCGGCCGCGCCCGAGGTGAGCCCTCCATCTCTCCTTTAGGGCCTCACCCGGCTGCGTGCGGCCAGCCCTGGCCTCAGGGAGGGTCACTGCCAGGGTGACCAGCGGTGTCCCCGAGGCCCGGGAGTGCTGCAGATACTCAGACCGTCCGCAGAGCTATTGCTGGGTCCTGCTCTGTGTCTGGGCATCACGCAGCTCTAGCCGTGACATCGCTGGCTGTGGAGCCCGGGTGGGGTGCAGGTGTGTGGGGACCCTGTTGCCCTGGCGGGGTGCACCTGTGTAGGGGCCCTGTTGCTCGGCACGCTGCACAGCTGGCAGCGAGGCCCACGTGCCAGTCACTTGGCTCTGCTGGGTTGCAGCATTCAGGAGCTCATATGGTTGTAACTTGCCTCAAAGGCCCAGAAAACAACTTTGGACGCAGCCCGGTGTATGCCGACGGCCGTCTGCACTGCTGGTCTGCGGGGCCCAGAGGCAGAGGGGCGTGTCCTCTGCTGGCCGAGGAGTACGAGCAGGTGCGGGTGGCCCTCTGGGTCCCCGCCAGCGCCCTGCTTCCCACAGTGGAGACAAGGCCGGGGGGCTGGCGGCTGCACTGGGCCTTGGCCTGAGGCGCTGCAAGGCCACGGGCCCCTTGCTCAGCTCGACCCAGTGCCCACTTGGGACACGGCATCAGGGACGCTCGTGTGGGACTCTCCGGGGGTGCCCGAGACTTTGGTCTGGCTCCTCCAGCCCCAGAAGCCCAAGATGGTGCCGCCCTGCCTCCTGGGATGCTGCTCACACCACCCTGGGCAGAGGTCACTGAGGACGGCCTGGCAGAGGCCCGGGGCACCAGGGGCCCACTGGGCACTTGTTAGTGGCCGCAGGGTCGAGAAAGCTGAACACGGGCAAGATGGACGTCAGCGAAACTGCACGTCGACCTGAGGAGCCGCGGGCGGGAGCCACCACGCAGAGCCGCCACCGCTCAGAGCCGCCAGCCTCCACGGGGCAGCGGCCCCTTTATGGCCCTGCGCCCGCGGTGGCAGTGCGGACGGCCAGCTGTGGCCTGGCCGGCCTGGCCGCCGCATCTTCCCGCCTGGCCCCCGCCTGCAGCTCACCAGGACGCGTTTCCACATAACAACTTTAATAGCATTTGCAACAAAAACCACAAGCTGAGTGATGGGGATTTTCTTGCATTTTTGTTTTCCCCAGAAACTTAACTCATTCCTCCTTACGCTGAGCTTCATCTGCACAGCTCAGAATTCTTGCCTAAATAGGAAACATGTGTTTTACCTCAAAAAGACAATCTCTTGTGAAACTAGGTTCTCCCTGGGGTGAGGCCTGCAGGCCCCACCCAGCGCAGGCTGCAGACACAGGCCCCGCTCCGGCCCGGCTGGAGGGCCCCGCCCAGCGGCCCAGGCGGCTGCAGCCCAGCAGAGCCTGGGCCCTTGGGCCGGCCTGGCGCCCCAGCAGCGCCGTGGGCAGAGCCGAAAGGGGTGTTTCTGGCTGCCCACGGCTACAGCGCGCTTCCTAGGGGGTGGTCTGGGGGCCCCTGTGACCCCCGCCCCGTGTGCCGCAGGGTGGCGGCTCCCAGGGAAACTGAGGCAGGAGGCCGCAAACTGAATCCCCAGCCGCCAGCAATGTCGTATCATGCGAGTTCGAGATGAGTAAGTGGCAGCATAGAGCTGCGTGTGTGTGAGCCCTTGGGCGCGCGGGGCAGGCTCCGGCCCCCTCCCGCGTGAGCACCCCGCGACGGGCGTCGTCACTGCACACCGGGCTGCTGGGAAGGAGCCGCCAGGCATTTGGTGCAGGAGTGGAGTCATTTTCAAAGGCAAAAGCCAAAGCCGCCACACCGTTCAGGGGCGACAGGCGCAGGCGGCTGGCCCCGCCCGGGAGGAGGACAGGTGCCCAGGGCGGGGGCAGCGGACTCACCCGGCTCAGCTCCTTGGAGTCCTCCTCGGAGACGGGCCGCTCCCCGGCCTGGAGCTGCAGCTGCCTGCTGGCTGGGGCCGGTCCTACGGGCGCAGCAGGGTCTGTTGGCCGGGACACTGAAAGCACAGTCCAGAGTCACCTTCCGGAAGCTGCTGTCCCAGGGCCCTGCCAGGGCAGGGCTGTCACGACGGGGAGGAAGCGCCCACGCATGTGCAGGGGCTGCACATTTTAAAGACCGAAGGTCGGGGCAAAGCACCTGTCCACCCACGCCCAGCATGGGAAAGGGCTGGGTGTCGGCCCCTCCCTCTGGCCCTGTCTTTCTGAAGAGCCGACTCCAGCCGCAGCTGCACCCTTGGGTGCTGCCAAGGGTGTCCTGGCCCTCCCGGCACACCTGCCGCCATCCTGTGGCTCCTCCGAGCCACCCGGGCTTTAACCACTGGACACACAGCTGTGGGCCAGGCCCCAGCTGGCTGCCCCTCAACCTGGGCTCGGGGTGGCAGCCACGACACCCCACTGCTCTTTCAAACCATCCCCCTCAGAGCACAGGCCAGAAGGAATCCCCAGCCCCACACCCCACTTAAGAGCCTGTGGGGTGCCCTGCTCAGCCACCGCCCACAGGAGCTGGGGCTGAGTGGGAGGAGGCCAGAGTCCCAGCTGTGCCAGGAGAGGGGGCTCAGGTGGGAGCCGCTCTGCGGGGGGCAGCAGCGCAGGGGACAGGCATGGAGAGGACAGAAGCCGCCGTGCCCACCCCGGGGGCCTCCCCACCGCCTCAAGGCCCGGGACGGCCACCACTGCCCAGAGGAGGTGGAGACCCCAGGGAGACACGGGTCCCCCGGCTCTGACAAGAAGGTGGTGTCACCCTGAGGTGCCGGCAGGGGAAACACGGAAACCACCTCTGTGCAGGTTCAAGCGCTGCCGAAAGCCTGATCTGGAAGGTGTCCGCGAGGAAACCTCCGCAGCTGTGCCCGGCAGGGCTGCCCCTGCACCTGCTCATCCGCTCCCGGGCCAGCCGAGGTCTGAGCCAGCGCCCTGCTCTGGAAAGTTCCTGCAGACAGGGCTGGAGGCAAACACCGCATCGTGCGGCCGCCCCCTGGTGGCCACACACTGGCACGGCGGCGTCTGGAGCAAGCAGGGCTGGGCTGGTGGGCGGGCAGCCCCACACACACCAGGCCCCGCCTGGCCCGCAGTGTCACCACTCACTGAGCAGAGGCCTGCCGCCCCCAGAGCCTCCGCCGCCGCCTCTGGGGCTGGGCAGACACACAGGCCCGGGTGCGGCTTGGCTCGCTGCTCACCCATGGCCAGGTGGTCGGGGCCCAGGCCCCTGCTGCTGGAAGTGCTGGTGGGGCAGGGCCTGGAGCAGCTGACAGTGGAGGGAGCGCCGGGAGCCTGGTGCGGACAGGCCTGCAGCCTGAGGCAGCACTGCAGCCTGGGGGTGCTCTGTGGCCAGCAGCCCCAGGACCGGGTGTGGAACTCACCCTCCGCCCTGCTGCCTGATGGTTTAGGAGCCCTGGCTGAGACAGAAGGGGGTGCCCCGCTGGCTGAAGGCCAGGGTGCTGGGTGGTGTCTGACTCCTCCCAGGCCCTGCCCTCGCCCCCTGATGGGCCCCTCCCCCAGCTGTGCCTGCCGTGCCTGGGAGGGCTGTTGGCTCTGAAGACCATGAGGGTAAGTGTCCAGCACTTGTGGGGTGCCGCCACATGTGAAGAAATGACCGAGGACGAGGCCAAGGAGAAAGCACCAGGTGCCATCTGAGACCTGTGGGCCAGAGTGAGGCCAGGCCGCCGACCACAGCCCCAGCCCCTGCTCCGGGATGTGGGGCCAGAGGGACTTTGGGGCCAGGCCCAGTGTCTGCCCCAGAAGGCTGCTGCTGGGAGCTGGACCTCGGCCACAGCCACCTCTGAGGTGGTATTTCTGGGAGTGAGAAAGTTGACCTGACACTGAAATCCATGAAGCAGGAGACACATGCGCCCAGGGGTCCTGTGGGGCCCGTGGCCTCCCCCAGACGCGTGCAGGGGTGTCCACCGAGACCTGGGCTGGAGCCTGCCCACAGGCCTTCATGGCGGCACAGAGCTGGGGTGCTGGCGGGCCCCGCGGGCAGCCTGGCAGACGGGTGCTGGCGGCTGCCACCACCTGCCTCGAGTGGGTGTGGAGCTCGCGCCACTGGATGCGGGACAGCACATTACGTGTCTGGTTCCACCTGCCTGGTGTGGGTCATGTGACGCCCTCGGCCTGGAAGGGGGTGGAGGCGGGACCGGGCTCCTCCAAAGGCCAGTCATCACCCCGGGCCTTCACAGTGACCCTGCCCACAGAGGACCCTCCCGCCAGGAGGCAGCACACAGCAGCAGAAGGCTGAGGCCCAACTCTGGGGCCAGAGGCCTGGGCACACCTTGAGGTGGGCAGGGCAAGCGGACGGGTGCCAGGAAGGTCACTACGTGGGCAGGAGGGGGAGCCCCAGGAGGCACTCAGGGCGGAGGAGGGCCTGGATGACTGCTGACCAGGCACGAGGTACCCACCTGCCTGGTGTGCGGAGGAGCCCGTCCCTCGTGGGGCGGGGATGCCTGGGCCCCAGAGCTCTGCGGCATCGCCCAGCAGTTCCATCTTCTGGCTGAACTGCAAGCCCAGAGCGCGCACGGCCTCAGGCATCCTGGCGGACAGCAGGCGGTAGGCCACATCGGGCTTCCCGAGGCCGCGTTGGCGCACAGTGACCTCATAAGGTGTGTGCACCTGGACGTCATCCACGTCTCCCCTTTCAAATCTGTGCAGGAGCGACGAGGCCGAGTCGTGGATCTCCAGCCCGGATGCCAGAACAGTGAGCCTGCCTGGTCTCACCTCCGAGGCCTCTGCTCCACGGGAGACCACCACAGGGATGCTGAGCATGGGCCTGGCCTTCCCACGCGCTCCGGGCCTCCCCGCGGGGGCACCAGCCCGGGGCTGCACGTCCGCCGGTGTCTTCCAGAGCCTGTAGCTGAAGGGCCACCACGCAGGGGACTCCAGCTCCGTCAGCAACCTGGGCGGCCAGACACAGTGTGTTGGCCCCTTGGCCAGTGCCGCCTTGTCCTGTGCGGTTCTTCCCAGCCACACCTTCTCACCCGCAAGCTTCAGAAAGAAGAGGAGGCTGAGAGTGGCAGGACAGCAGCCCAGACCCTTAGCTGGCCAGCCCCGGAGACTGGGCTGGCACCACAGGCCAGACTGCCCACCACACAGGGAGACACCCACGCCCCGACGAGCCACACGAGCAGTGGCACCCATGCCGAGGGACAGTGCTGGGAAGTAAGCCGGGATGGTCAGCAAAGGGAAGCAGACAAAAGAATAAAGACTGGAAAAAAATACAAAAAACCCAAAACTTGGACCTTTGAGGTCTTGAAAAAATCAAGCCCCTCACTGGATCAAGGAAAAATAAAAAGGAAATGACCAATGTCGTGAATAAAAAGACCCAGCGACTCTTAAGGGTCTTTCGTGGATGTGGTGCTCGGCTTCGCAGCAAAGCCCAGCACGTAGAAAAGCCAACCTCAAGGGGCACACAGAGACGGGCAGGCTGAGCCTGCACCCCACCAGGGCGGGGTACAGAGCAGGAGTATCACTCCTGGGATTATAAGCTTGGCCCGGCACTGCAAGCTAAGTGCTCTCATCAGAAAATGGGCCTCCCTGGGGGCACAGGGGTGAGTCTCAGCGGCTGCAGCCCAAGTCCATCCTGGCCCTAGGCAGTGACCCACAGGGCGCAGCAGACCCCTCTGTCTCCCCGCTGCTCCCTCAGCAGTGGGTTTCAGGGGATCTACCTGTTCTCCCTATGCTGTCTCTGGGGGAGTCCTCTTACCCCACCCCTCTTGTGTGCATGAAGAAATAAAATCTTAAAAGCAGAAAAAAGTGGTATGATCATCACAGAATATCCAGAAGTTGAGAAGATGCAACACTTGTTAAAACTTGCAACAAGTTAGAAGAAAACTTCCTTATTCAATTCAGATATCTGTAAAAAAAAGCCCAAACACACACAGCTTAAAAGCAATAGCACTGGTGATGTTGACTGGTGATGTTCACCGTCTTCCCTCCAAGGCCAGGGACTAAGCCGCGAGATGGCCCCGCCGCCTGTCTGGATGTTAGTGCAGGCTCAGGCAGAGGCTGTACTTGCAAGGCAGGCCCTGGCCCTGGCCCTTCCTGGCAGCAGCGACTGCAGCACCGGGCTCATGTGGGACGTGCCAGACGCCAGGGCCAAGCAGGGAGACTCCGCGGGAGAGGCTGTCCTCACAGCCGGCAGCACTGCAGGGGGCACTCACGGCCAGGGCTGACCCAGGCTGCTGAGGCCTGAGCTATCTGGTGTCTCAGAAACAGGCGCAAGTGATTAGAAAGCGAAGAGAGTGACCCATTCACAGAAGATGAGGTCAGTGGTGTCTGCTTCTGAGATGTGGGATTAACAAGCAACAACTTTGGAGAGGTTACCAGTGCTCCAGGTCGTTGAGAACATTAGGTTAAAGGGTGAAAGGAAAGCAGAGTGATGAGGACAGCTGTAGAGACTGTCGCTGGACACAGAAACTATTCCCAAAAGGATGGAAATTCTTAGGAAGTAACAATCACTCTGCAAAACAATCTGGGACCTGACGGTGTCACTGGCCAATGTTGCCAGACCAGCGGCAGCGCCAGCCCTGACCAGCCCTGCTTGCTATGGTCGGGGAGGAGGCATATCCAGGAGCCAGCGCTACGCAGACAAGAACACGCCAGAAACCGAGGGAAGTACCCCAACACCAGAGGTGACCCCCACAACACAGTGAGCAGGCTGCATGAGATGGTGCCAGGGCATGCCTGCCCGCAGCGGGGTGGAACGTGGACCCATCGCCTCACAGGCAGACTCAGGCCCCTTCTTGCTGAGAAAGAGTGGGTACAGCGGGAGCGCACCTCCAGACAGCAAGGCCTCAGACATGTCAGTGCCCAGGAGAATCGAATCGTAAACGTCTTCCTGCAAAACTAATGACAGGATCACGACATCCAGCCTTGGCCCTTTTAACTCACAAGTCAATCTTGGCACTCCTGGCTGGAAGTCTGAGCCAGAGCAGTTAGGCAAGGAGGAGAAGGAAAGGTGTCCAGGCTGCAGAGGAAGAACATGGGTACCCGGTGACAGCGGATGTGACACTGTACCTGGATCCCTGAGCAGCCGCCAGCTTCAGAGAGGTTGCGGGTACAGAACCCCCCAAGCAAAAGCAGTTCTGTCGCCACACGCAGACAATGGAGCTACCAGTAATGTAGCTCAGGAAACATCCCCTGACAATTGCATAAAAGAACAAAATACCGAGGACTGAGCTGAACTGAGGTGAAAGACCTGTGCACTGAAGACTGCACAGCAGCAAGGAGAGTGAAGACAGCAGCTGGCCAGAGCGCCAGTCCTTGCTGGGCCCGGGAGAGCCTGAGAGAGCCGGTGGACTCTCAGGTCTTTTACAGGAAAATGGTGATTTTGTACAGAAATAAACAACCCTAGAAGTTTTATGGGCCCACGAAGAAGCCAAGATGCCAGGTGATCTTGAAGAAGAACAAAGATGGAGGGAGGCATCACATTTCCCAACTCGTAATTTTAGTGTGAAGTCACCGTAACCAGAATCTGTGTCATTAGCACAGAACAGCTAGCAGGTCACCGAAACAGAACAAAGACCCCAGAGGCGCACACTCAGCCACTGGCTTGTGACAGGGCCGCAGGGCGCACCGAGGGCGCGCGGCAGTCTGCACTGAACAGCACCGGGGAGGCCGGCAGCCACGTGCAAAAGGACGGAGCTGGACCCCCAAGGGGCGGAGCGTGAGACCCAGAGCGCCCCCGCCCACGCCCCCGCATGGAAGCCTGAGTGGTCAGCCCCTGGACAGCTGCCTTGGTGAAGCGGGTTTTTCATTTGACCAAAAACAGGCTAACAAAAGCAAAGACGGGCATGTGACATCGCCTCAAATCAGAAACCACCGACCCTGGCGTGAAAAGGCCCCTGGAGAATCACACCCAGGACGAGGCGCTCACAGCCAAAACAAGAAAGGAAAACCTGACAGCCAGATGCCGAGGGCCTGACTCCTCCTCCTAAGAGGGGCCCCGGGGCCAGTCGTGCCCCAGGGAGACACTGGGGTGGGTGGGTGCAGGCAGCTGTGGGGCGGGTGGCCGCCACCTAAAAGAGGCTTTGGGGAGGAAAGAAGGCAGGGGCCGCTGCCGGGGAGGCCGGGGGAGTCTACACGACGGAGACACATTCTGGCGGCTCCTGAAAAATCTCAAACCGGATCTAGCTGGGATGCAGCAGCTGTCTGGTGGGCATCTGAAAGAGAAAGGCCTCAGAGCACAGGCGAGGGGTGCTTCCGAGACAGCTCTGCAGAGCTGCGCGCCGGCGGCCTCGCCGCTCCAGAGGGCAGTGCATTGAGCAGGCTCCGGTGGGGCCAGATGGCCACACGGTGGGGATGCCCACTGCAGCGCGGACTTTTAATAACTCAATGAAAATATGTGAAATGGCTTGGACGGCGCCACAGGAAAACACTCACACACAGCAGACAGTAAAGGAGAAACACCGGCGCAGGAAAGGCTGCAGACGCGGAAGGCGCGCAGCGGGGCTGCGGAGGGAGCCCAGCCACCCGCGAGGAGCACGGGCTGCTAAGGACACAGCGTCTCAGTTGGCCTGAAAACCACGCTGACAGACACTGCCGTCCGGAGGCACGCTCCAGGCTCAGAGACGCACAAGGCCAAGTCACGAGCAGAGCCAACGGCAGCTGCAGGGAGTGCCGGGCCTCGGCCCCAGGGGCGCAGATCTGGGGGAGCAGGGCAGGGCCTCCACACGGCAGCAGAGCCGGATATGGCACGGGGAGCCACGGAGTGGTTGCCCCTGGAGACTCCCTCCGCGGGCCTGCCTCGCCCACTCCCCGCATGCCCGGGCCACCTACATAGGCAGATGCGCGAGTGCTGGGCATCCCGCCACAGACCCGGCTCTGCCGCCGCCCTGGTCCCTCTCTCCAAGACTGTCGGGCAGGCTGCGGTCTGCCTGGTCCTGCTGAGCCACGAAGCAAGTTCAGCATCTCCAAAGATGCTAAATGCCAAGAGGCACCCTCACGGCCTGAGGGCTTCGCCGCGGGACGCGGGAGAAGGCACGATGGGGGTCAGCGGGTTCAAGGCGGCCGAGGGCACAGAGTAGCCTGAGCTGCAATGATGCAGAGATGCCGAGCGCCAAAGCCCACTGTGCCCCTCGGTGATCCTAGCGCCCGTGCAGGCCACAGGGTCTCAAGCCAAAGGCCCGAGCTGCTGGCAAAGGCAAGAACGGATGCACAGCCCGGCACACCCAGGCTGCACCACAGCCCACAGCGGGCAGAGGATGGCCACAAGCAGGGTCCGCCCAGCAGCAGGGATGGAGCTGGGACCAGGCCCTCCCAAAGGAGGGGGGCGGGTGCTGGCCCCACAACCGGCCATGGCAGCACCCAGCCTTTCTCTGAGAAGGGTGTGCCCATCACAAGCTGCTCTTGTGCCCGCTAAGTAAGCCCAGAGCCTTCCTAGTGCCCTGACCTCCTTGTGGACCCCGTGCTGTGCCTCCCCGAGTACCACGCCAGCCTCACCCCCGGGCCTGGCCATCAGGCTGGCTGCCCTCAGCCGCAGGGCACCAGACGGGGCATTTTTCCTGCCGAGGTGGACAGGGCGCACCGGGGGACCGGGGGCGTACAGAGGCCCAGGAGAGCACCAAGGGCCGGGCGCTCACCTGTCAGCCACGTCCAGGTCGGCCTCCATCTGGTCCAGGTCCCGGGCGACACGGTCCATCTGCCGGCCCTGGTGGTGGAGGGCGTGGGCCGCATCCTCCAGGCGCTGCTGGGAGCGGGCCGCCAGGCCCACCAGCTCCTGGCCCCTGGAGGCGGGTGCCGGCTCAGCAGCCTCCCCCGGGGCCAGCAGCCGCTCCCTCCAGAAGTGCTCCAGGACGCTGAAGGCGGCGTTGCGGCTGGGCCGCAGGGTGCTGAACCAGTGCTTGGCACCACCCTGCTCCAGGACGGTGATGGAGCTGAAGATGAAGTGCGACGCCGCCTTCTTGAGTTCGGTGACGCTGCCGAGGGGCACGCTGACCAGGACGTCCCCCGTTCCATCCGCTGTGAACTGGAGCATGTGCGGGGTGAGAGCGAGTTGGCCCGGGACCCATCGCTTCTCGACCTCCAGATAGTAGGAGCCCAGCCAGGCTCGGATGCACGCGTCCCTGCTCATCTGGCCTGGTCCTACGGCAGCCTCGGCAGCCTCTGCTGGAGGATGGGGGACAGTTGGGGGATGGGGGCTAAGACACCTTCGCACCTGGGGAGGCACCGCCTGGAGCCACTAGGGGTCCCAGCCAGCCAGGCCCTCAGCACAACCCCCGAGGCGGGCAGGGCCTTCTGCAGAGCAGGGGGGCGGGCAGGATGCGAACCGCAGCCCCCTGGGCAGCACTGTGCTCTCGGCCCCCAGCCCCGTCCTGGGAGCAGGCCCACCCGGACTTGGCCAGGGTGGAGACGGGACAGCCATCCCTGCCTCCCCCCAACCCTTCTCCCCTCGGTTGTTCCTCAGTCACTTCACCCCGAGGAAGCACCTCTCTTACAGCCCCAGTGGCTGGACAGGCCCAGCATGCATCCAGGCAGCCCTGCAGGCTCGGCGATGGCCCCGGGCACCGGCCCATCCACCCACCGCGGGGGTCCACCTGGGCTCTGGTGCTCCCTCAGCCCCCCTGTGGTTACAACAGGGAAACGCCCCGGGGCCTGTCAGCAGGACCAGTGGGCACAGCAGAGCAGGTGTGGGCTGCCAGAGATGCCAGCCAGATGCGGGCGTGGGCGTGGGCGCGGGAGAGGCGCTAGCGCCTCCTCTGGCCGGGCGCAGCCTCTGCAGGCAGCGCCAGCGTCCTCGAGTGCTCCTGGCCCAGGGGCACTGGCAGGTGCCGTCCTGCCGCCCGCCCGCAAACAAGTGCGCAGACAGGGACCTGCCGGCCGTGTCCGCCCACCCCAGGTGCTGGGCCCAGGTAACTGCAGCCCCGCTCCCCAGACAGGCCCAGGCTGCTGGTCTCCAGGCTTCTCTGCGCTGCAGCAGACCTGTGCCCAGGACGCTGGGCATCCTGTAAACACCCTATTTTTAGTTAATTTCCGAAGTGACAGAACAGGCTGCGGTAGCTCCAGCCACGGGGAGGCTCGGTGGACAGTGCGGCAGTGTCTGTGCCTGGCGTTTCCAGCCCGCCGCCCCTCTCTCCCACTCACGCCTGGGAGGCTGGCGGCTGAGGGGGCTGTCCCGGTGGAAACGGCCGTCCCCACGCTGCGGCCTGCAGACCGGGCTCCCCTCTGCCCGCCAGGGTGGAGTCCAAGTGCCCTCACCCTGCCGGCCCCCTTCCTCTGTGGCTCTTCTGCGTGGTGGTCACAGGAGGGCGGCCGAGAGCAGGGCCCCACCGGGTATTCCTGCCATGGGGTGGCCGCCGGCCAGGGTTTTCAGGCCTGGCCCAGGGGCTGGGTGGCATGGATGGCTGAGCTCTGCCCAGTTCCGCCTGCCCTCAGGAGTCCAGCGCTGCCTGCATGGACCCCAGGGCCACTGCGTGGGAAGCAGCTGGTCCCGGCCCAGCCCCACCCTGAGGTACAGCCCTGGCTCCCGACATGAGGCGTGTGAACCCGCTGGCCAGAGGCCCCTGTCTGGGAGACTGGGTCTCACTCGGAGTTTCCAGAGCTGGAATCCTGGAATGCCCCCAGGAATTACCTAATGGACACCACCTTCCCAAGAACTCAGCCCAGGCCCCAAGTCTCGGATATTCTCGGCGGCCTCCCACGCTCGGCCACCCGACGTGCACGACCCTAAGCCATAGTAGGCCGTAGGGGCGCGGGGTGCTACAAGCCCTCGTTTGGACCCTTCTAGCTCTTGGTGAAGGCCAGGAACGGCAAGAGCCAAGCCTACACCCTCGGAGAGGCGACTGTGGGGCGGGGCCAGAAGGAGCACTGACCCTCGAGCCTGGGGCTACTGCCAGCCAGAAGCTGCGGACACGCTTCCTGCCCAACCGCGAGGGGTTTTGAGGACACCTGTGCTGTGGCCTCAGCCGCACTGCAGACTCCTGGGTGGGTAAACCTCACACCCTGTGGAAACAACCCCCCGGGGAACTGCGCTCCAAAGTGCAGCACCCAACACACCCAGACCCGCCATGTTGCACCCACAGGAGCACATGGACCCACATGTCCCTGTGACACAGGGGGCAGCGCCCTTGCCTGCCCCCAGGCGCTGCCCACGCGGAGCCCACGGATTGGCCTGTGCTGCGGCCCCGGCGCCACAGCCCTGTCCAGCCCGTCTGCTCCTGAAGACGCTTGCGCGTCCCTGGCCAGCGCACCTGGTGATGGGCCTGTTCTCGTCAGTGGACAGGCTTGTGCTGGCCTTTGCCTAACACGCAGAGACCCTGACCCACTGGCCTCTGCCCGCTTCAAGCTGGATGCCGCCTCAGGTCCACACCAGCCCCCCCCTCACCTCCTG